CCCCAAAACCCCAAAACCCCAAAACCCCTAGGGGAAGAATAGATATTGAAGAACCAAAATACGTAATGATGATTAGATAAATGGGCTAGTTGACTCTGTTGCATTTAATTTTGCAGTCAAGATCTCTTCATATGGTACTTTGGAGTAGAGATATTTGAGAGACTCTTTAGATTCACCCTTTGTCTCTTTTATGAAAAATATCAAGAACAGCAACCCTAGGAGGTTAATGCCTAGGAAGATAAAGTAGAGATCTCTCTGATTAAAATACCCTAGGGTTTTGAATGTTAGAAGAGAAACAAGAGTTGTCAAAATCCATGTTATTGATAGGGCAATTGAAATTCCGAATTCAGTCATGATTTCTGTAGCATACATAAAAATAGCTGATCCCATCCCTATTTCGAAGAAGATAATGAATACAATTGCGAATGCGATGAGGTAAGAGGAGTTCTGAGACTTAGGCCAAACAGCAAGTGCAATCAGGCAGAAGCACATTCCGATGTTGCTGATAATCATCAAAGGCTTCCTTCCAAATTTTGCTAAAAGAAAAATGGCTGCAATAGCAGAGATACAATTGATGACTCCAATGATAGTGGTTCCCATCCTAGCCAAAACGAGTACATCATGAGTCTCATTTTCCTGTCCAAATTCAATGTACTTTGCTGAATATAGTATAACAACATTGATTCCTGTAAGTTGTTGGAAAACCGCTAAAACTCATCCAATAATAAATGCTTTTCTGTGATAAGGATCAAAGTTATTTTCAAATGGAAACTTTCTGTTCTTGTGATCTTACCTCCTTAGTGAGGATAAGGTCTCGTTCATTAAAGTCCGGGTTTGTCAGCAACTCAATCTAAATGTAACTAAGGAAGCTTACTCTCCGAGCATGCCTTTCTTTTCCGATCAGTCGATAGTATTTAGGAGTATCATCTGTAAATACTATTATCAGCAAAAGTGATTGGATAATAGCAACAAATGCTGGAATCATGAAAACAAATCTCCAAGAATTTGTTGTTTTAACAGTAGGGTTAGGATTGTTTTCTAAGTCTAGTTTTAGAGGAGCTAGAAATCCAAAGAAGTACCCTACCATTATCCCAACAGTCACCATCACTTGATTAAGCCCACCGATAGGTCCAGCTAGTTTTACCAAAGAAGTCTCTGAGAGAAACATTGGTCAAACGACAGTAAGCACTCCTACTCAAAACCCTACAATAATCCTCCCTATCAAGATAGTAAAGAAGTTGAAGATCATTGAAAGTGCTGTTCCAAATCATAGCACTACATTGATCCAAATAATAGCTTTTCTTCTTCCATAAGAGACGAGACATCCACCAGTCAAGGATCCAAAGACTGCTCCTAAAGGAATAGCAGTGGTCATGACCGAGTTAAAATTTTCTGAATCCCCTATTACAGCTCGTCCAGCTTCTCCTAGCTGGGTATGTAGGATATCTAAGAAGGATGAGAACATGGCACTTCAATATCCCATCTGGAACATTCCAATTGCGATAGAGATCATCCATGCCCATAGAAAGACCAAGTGCATTTTTAGTTGATCCAATTATTATATCTCAGTCAGGGGTTTTGGGGTTTTGGGGTTTTGGGGTTTTGGGG